GGGGAGGAGAGGAATCCTCCGAGAGACACAGAGCAGGAGAGAAAATGAGTGGGTGAGACAGAGAGAAAAAGAGGAATAAACGCATCAGAAGGAGAAGAGAGGGAGAGAGATGTAGAGAGAGAGAAAACAGGCTAAAGGTCCGGCAGGTGAGAGAAAGAGAGAGAGAGAGAGAGGCAAGGAAAAGAGAGAGAAAGAAAGCAGGCTAAAGGACAGATAGGCGAGAAAGAAAGAAAGAAAGAAAGAAAGAAAGAAAGAAAGAAAGAAAGAAAGAAGAAAGGAAAAGAAAGAAAGAAATAAAGAAAGAAAAAAAGAAAGAAAGAAAGAAAGGAAAGGAAAGGAAAAAATAAAGAAAGAAGAGAAAACAGGCTAAAGGACAGACAAGGGAAAGAAAGAAAGAAAGAAAGAAAGAAAGAAAGAATGAAAGAAAGAAAGAAAAACCTCACTAAAGGTCGGGGAAGAGAGAGAGAGAGCATGAGAGCAAGAAAGAAAGAGAGAGAATGAAGTAGAGAAAGAGAGAAGTGAAAGAGAGCAAAAGAGAGAAGAAGAGTAAAGAGATAGAGACAGAGGAAAAGACAGAGACACAATGAGAGAGAGAGAATGAGAGAGAGAGGGAGAAAGAGAGAGAGAGAGGTAGAGAGAAGAGAAAAACAGACAGAATGAGAAAGAAACAGAGGAGAGAACGAGAGAGAGAGAGAGAATGAGAGAGAACAAGAAAAGAGGAGAGAAAGAGAGAGAGAGAGAGAGAGAGAGAGAGAGAGATAGATATGCCCTCATACACCCTCAAATGTCAGCCTGTCTTAACCACTTGCGGAATAAGGACGATGCGCCTGTCAGCTGGTCAGGACTGGACGATATGGACAGAAGTCCACACTGTGATAAACTGACAAAATATCATTATCACTGAATGAGGGCTGTGAACCTTCATCACTTTCACACAGGCAAAAAACCTCTACCAGCTTCCTTTATATGTTTCACTTATCCAGTACTTATAAGCGTAGTATAAATCAATACTCATTATTCCTCACACGTACAGCACTGAGCATGTGTATGCATATATATTCACTAGAATTAAGAACAAACTCCTAACAGCCATCCGCAAGACCTGGCAGACCACCAAACAGTGAGAGAGAGGAAAAAATAAAGCTCCACCGTTTGAAGACAAATCCACGCTATGGGTCTGAAAGGATGTGCAGCTGTCAAGGAGCCTCACTGAGAAAAGCAAGAAGATTTGCAAATCAAACCAAGAAGCTGCTGGTGTTCTCAGAGCAACAGACTGACCACCCCAGAGTCCAGACCTCAACATCACTGAATGTGAAAAACAAAAAATGCAACTAACTTCTAAGACTGAACTTTGGAGGTGTGGAAAAATATCCCTGCAGATTTCTTTAAAAAAAACGTAATAATATATAATATATTGAGAATCGATATACAATATATCCTCTGATATTATATGTAGTTGTTGAGGCTTGTGTGTAATTTTCTCTTAATAAGTATAATAAATAAATGTTTCATGCTGACGCTAAAAAAAATGAATGACTTGTTCTTAATGGCCGTTAAATAAAGGGTGGTCTCTGACTTTAGCACAGTATTGTGGGTCAAGAAGTAACTGGAACAAGTGAGGAAATTAGGATTCTATACTTTCAGTCTAAGAGGGGTATTTTATTATGAATTTGTTTTACCTGTTTTACTGAAAAAAAAAAACATTTTTGCTATTTTTTGCCACAAATTTGTTAACAATTTGACATCAGAATAAAGAGCAGAACTGAATTTGTCAATACAGAATTTAAATAGCATTCATAATTGTAATTATTACATCATGTAATTACTTATGCAATTATACTGAAATAATCAAATACCTAACAAAATGATACTAACTAGAGGTGGGTAATGTGGAAAAATGTAATTTGATACTTCAGGAAGTTTTTACAATACATAATATGTCACAATATTTATTTTTTCTGACATTGATAAGTTGGAACAGACAGAAGTCGTGCCATATTTTAAAAATATGATCAGAAACTTTGAATTACTTACTATCAATTACATGCATTCACAGTGTGCTGCACTAAATCAATGAAACAGGACTAATTCTGCTCTCTTTTTAATCAAACATGCAGCTGTGAAGTGATTTTAAGTGAATATATCTACCAAACACTCTGTCACACAATCTGTCATAATTTACCTCAATAATGATAGATATTGTCATATTGTCCAAGTCTAATATTAAATACAGACTTCTCAGAGCTTTATTTGAAGCACTCTGTGCTAACAGCTGTCTTCTACATTTGTTGATGAAATGATATCAATAAAAATCATTTATCATTGCTGTATGGATGATTATACAGTAAAAGTTCTCTGCAGCTCATTAGCTACAAGGCTAATGTAGGTAACAGGTAACGGAAGCTTATATCCTGTCAATTAGCATCGTGCAAACTGCATGACTACATCATTGCAGGCCTGTATATCCTAGATAGCAAGAGGATAGTGGGCTACCGCTGGCCTGCTGACGGCAAAGATGGTGGCCCACTGGCTTTTCACTCCTTTTACAGGCGGCCCACCGGCGGTTAAGCAGCATATTAGAGAACCTGCCAATTTTCCAGTATTGAGTATGTTCCAATTTACTTATTTTTCCTTTTCATTTCTTTCTTTTGATATCCTTTTTCAATCAGTTTAGCAAATAATTTTAATTTAGCACAGAGTTATCCTGCGTCCTGCACTATTTCAAAACTGTAAACCATCAAAAACCTTTCAAACTACCATTAAATAATCGTTAAACCATCTATCCAACAATTGCTAAATGTTAAACAGAGCTGCTAACTAGGAGAGAGGATCTGGTTAGCATTAGCTTAGCTAGCTAATGCTCACCTCAGAACACACCTGATTCTGGTGGACTAAAGCACAGACACAAGGTTAGACGATTCAAATGTGAGGGAGTGAAGTCGACCAACCACTGCTAAAGGGACAGACAGGCGACATAAAAACCTGTTCTGTGGTGTTTGGATCTGTAGCCTGATCAGCTAGCTTAGCAAACAGGCTACAGACCCAAACAGTGCCACACACCACAGCACAGGCTTGATTCTGACTAACTGCTTATCTGCTGAAACACACGTATATGATAAACACTAATGTCTGAGAGAGAAAAGCGGAGTGACCGGTGTCGGAGTGACAGAAAGCTGGCTCCAGCTAACTTAAGCTAAAATGACACCAGTTTAAAGGATATCTAGGATCAAGGGACTGGCATTAGAGCGCAAAATGAAATGAAACGTGTTCAGTGATTTGTGAAGCTCTTAGCCGTCGCAGAGCTGCTATCACACTTTCTATCAGCACCACCTATCGGTGGGTTGGCAGGGTGATCTCTCAAAAGTATAAATGTGTTTATTTGACTAACCTGGCGTGAAATAAAAGTTTGAAACACCATCATAAGTTGAAATTGTGTCATCATTTATAAATACTAGCATAATTTTGAATACCGGCATCATTTTTAATTATAGTTATACCGTTCAATCCTAACTGCTAATACCGTTTTTAATTGTAGGCCTACTTTTGTTCATTGCTTAGCTACATCAGCCTCTTCACTCCAGTGCAAAGCTAATAAAAACAAAGAATAACATCAGATTTGCATCAATACTGGCCAGTGGTTGTTTAGTAGACAGATTTTTATCTTTATATTTAGATTAGATTTATGTTTCTATTTATATTTACCAATAATTCAAACCCACATTTGATGGTGATAAGCCAAAAGTGTAACATGACGAGACTTCAAGATGTTTTCATCATACATAATGTTACGTTGTATATTTTTTCTGATATCTGGTAAGTTGTAAAGGACAAAGTAGTGCCATATTTTAAAAATACTTCCAAAAACTATTCAACGATTTGTATTCAACTTCTCACATACTGCCCTGCAGTAAATTCACTTAGGCAGAGCTCTCTTTGCAATCAAATATGCCAGTGCTCAGTGTGTTTTAGGTACTGGGGATATCCACGTTATGCTTACAAAAGCATAATGTGACATATTGTGAGATCATTTATGACAATAATATTGAATGCCGTCGTATTGCCCAGTCTTATTTGTAAGCCTATAGAAATAAAGGCTGTATTTCTCCAAAATGCTGATGCATTTGGATATAGTACCAATTTCTACATAATAAATGCATCAGTATCAGCAGATATTTTAATGTGAGTCAATGTATAGATTTTATAAGCAGTTTTGGACCATTTCAATTGGTCTGTTTAACGACATAGCTGGTCAGTGTACTGATATCAAGCTAAAGACAAGCAGGTATTTGATGAAAACAACTGCTATTTTTCTGTCTCACCCTCACTCATTTAATTTTATTCTAACATGAGCAACGTATGCGTCAGCTGCTGTGCATTATACTGGAAAGATTATTGACATTATTAATATATTAATGTAATATTGGAGTATTACTTATTGTGCAATACTGAATGTGTTTCAGCACTGTTTAATATTTCATAAAACATATGTTTATGTATAGGAAGCTCTTGGCGGAAGACACAGTCTCTCTCTCAAAGAAGAGCTAACATTAGACAGCACATCTCAAAGAGTTTCCTCCTTATTGCAACTAATGCATTGTTACACAGCGAAAGGTTAAAGACAGATTAGGGCTGCTTACCACTTGAGGCAGTTTAAGAGACCTTCTTGAACACCACATGTACACAACAAGAACAACTCTGTTTCAGCTGTCAGACACCCAATACCACCCATCAATGACACGATCTTTAAAATACCACCACTATTCACAGCAACAAGGCCTGCCTTAGATGCCTAACATACAGGGTCATGGATGGATACGTATCTCTTACATCATAAATACTCACACACACATGCAAACTCACGTCTTCATTCTATCATTCTACTGGAAAGGTCAAATGACCTTTCTAAGACCATTCATACCCATAGGGACGCCTTGCCACCCAGCGATTTTCTTCCATCCAATCAGAACACCTGGTCCAGGTAGGCTCAGCCAATCACTCACCTTACTATAGACGCCCCAGGACAGCTCTGTCTCAATCACCATGACAACGATGCCAAACATGCCAAAGATGAGTGCGTAGTCGCTGAGTCTCTTTCTCTTCTCAAACAGCGCCCTCCGGTGACCCAGTTTGTAGCCGATGTTCTGGTTCTTACGCTTCGGAGCCTTCAGGGCCGTCCTCCCAGTGCCGGCTCCACCCCCTCGTCGTCCGTTGCTCCCGCTACCGGACTGCCCCAGAGTGCCCCTGCTCTCAGAGAGGGTGTGGTTCTGGTGGTAGATGGACATCTGATTGGCTGAAGGCTCCAGTTCGTACACGTGTCCGTAGGGAGGGTCCTCTTTGGAGGAAATGACGATTTCGGGCGGGTTCTGCTGCTGCGGGTTCTGTCCGTGGTGCTGCAGGGAGGAGGAGGACGAGGGGGCCGGGGCTGCCCCCTGCCCGCCGGCGGCCCCGCTTCCGCCCTCTTTGGTGTCGCTGCCACTGTCCGACTCGATAAGATTCCGTCGCGAGGCGCTGAGGCGGCTGAGCGGCTTCATCACACCGCCGCTGTACTTGCACGAGCTCATGGCGATCTCCGTGAAGGGGTTGCTGTCTCGCCGGTGGACCAGGGGACTCGCCTGCCTGTGCTTGCAGCCCCTGTCCCGCTCCCTGTCCCGCTCCCGCTCTCTTTCTCGATCGGATGATGGGGAATGTGAGGAGTAGAAGAGGGCGTTGTAGATTGGTGGCGCCTCCCCGCTCAGGCTGTGCTGGCTGCCGAGGCAAGAGGACAGCGGGGTGCTGGTGGGGTGCAAAGCGTTAGGAATGGGCGTGGGCAACTGGGGCGTCGTGGCCAAGGGCAGCTTGGGCAGGGATGCCGGGGGAAGGCTTGGGCCGCTGGGCGACGGAGTCCCGTTGAGGCGCTCCAGACTGCTGGTCCCGCCTGTGTGGTTGGAGTGGTTGTTGCTGGGGTAGTTGCCAGCTACTGAGGCATGGGAAATGCCACTCAAGGGGAGGGGAGGGCGCTGATCTTCTTCCTCACTCCCGGCAAGAAGGGACAAACTCAAGGAGGGAGGGGGATCCATGGCAACCAGGGAACTCCAGCAGGTTTGGGTGTGTTCTCCACCTCCTCCTCGACTCTGCTCAGACAGACAGACAGTTTGGTGGAAGAGAGACAGGTTTAATCTCCTCTGAAGGAAACGGATGCAACCTGATGTGATATGCTAGATGCTGGGTGCAGGGTAAAGGATCTACTCTTGAAAGAATGAATGGAATGGGATGGACAGGGATGTTGCTCGAGAGTTGGGGAACCAAAGAAGAAGTTCATGCAAGCATCTTGATGCCATAACATTTGTTATGCTAAAGGTTATGGGTCATAATCAGATTCAGTGGATAAGGGTTGACTATGGCAAGGTTTATGGGCACCTGTACTATGTCATATTCGACTAAACAGTCAGCAGCATCAGGAGCAGAGAAATGATGAACCTCTGAATCCCTCAAGGATCTACTTGTCACTCTCCAAGCTCTCTCTTCCCTCCCTCCCTCTTCCTCTCCTTCCAGCAATCTCTGTCACACAAATGCAACCCCGAAATCTCTGTATTATTCACTAACTTGTGCAAGTGGCCAAATCATAAGCACTGGGCTGGACGTGGACCAGATGACTAACGCTGACTTGAAAACAGAGGAATCTTGCAACTGTGCCGAAAACGAACAGCATTCCGATTTTAGCTCAAGCATCTCTTTTTCACTTCTGCATCTCTCTCCAGACACCTGTCTCTCTCCTCTCTCCCCATCCTTCACTCTTTGCTAGCCCTCCTTACCTTCTCTCCTCAGTCTGGCTGCTCTCAGACGTGCACTCGACGGCAGGGACACCTTATTCCTCCACACTTTTTCTTTTTCATGTTGTCACGATCAGTCCATCGTTTTGCTCGTCCGTTCTCCTTCGGCTGCGGAGCGTTATTTTTAAGGGAGCCTCTTCTACGTTCCTCAGTGTTTATCTGAAAAGGCGATTTAATCCCTGTTTTTTTCCCGAAAGCCCTCGTTCCGTTTACTGGCCTACCTTCACGTTTATTTCTTTTTTCTCTTTCTTTCCAACTCCAGACAGGTAAATATGGAAAAAAAAACCCACACAAATGAAGCAGGAGAGGTTCTGAAGACTACATAACACGAATGTTTTGAGAGAGGAGCCTCACCCTTCGCTGCTGGGTTCAAACCCAAACCTACTGGGTCTGAATGAACAGTGAAAACAAAAATAATGTCACCATTTTTCTTATCAATCTTTCCTCCTTTCCTCAGGCTCAGGCTCCCACTCGCGCGCTCGCTCTCTCTCTCTCCCTCTCTCTCTCTCGCTCATTCAAGCTCTCTCTCCCTCACTAACTTCTCTCACTCTCTCCGCCCCCTTGGCTCCGCCCCTCTCGCCTCCGATTGGTCGAACCTCGCTGAGCGAAAACAAAATAAGGGAAACAAAATAGAAAGAAAATTTGATTTAGCGAATTTCCTCCCTGCCACCTCCGCTTTTCCTCACGCAGCTCCTTCACGAGCACGTTCCTAATTTAAAATATATAAAATAACATTAATAAAAAAAACAATTGAATGAGTCTCCACAGACGTCAGGTAACCTGTAGGATAGTGGGGGGTGATTTGCCTGGAGCCCTTCAGGTTTGTATTGCTCTCTTTGTGGGGTATTTCCATTGCCTTCTGCTTTACTCAACACTTAAAAAGATGGTTCTTTAGCAAAGGTAGTGGGAGTTCTATATAGAACCATTTGCATGTTCAAATGTTCTTCAGAATGATTGAGAATGTGTTGTATACACCGATCAGGCATAACATTATGACCTCCTTGTTTCTACACTCATTGTCCATTTTATCAGATCCACTTACTATATAGGTGCACTTTGTAGTTCTACAATTACAGACTGTAGTCCATCTGTTTCTCTGCATACTTTGTCAGCCCCCTTTTACCCTGTTCTTCAGTGATCAGGACCCCCATGGACCCTCACAGAGCAGGTACTATTTGGGTGGTGGATCATTGTCAGCACTGCAGTAACACTGATGTGGTGGTGGTGTGTTTATGTGTGTTGTGCTGTTTCTGAGTGGATCAGACACAGCAGTGCTGCTGGAGTTTTTAAGCACCTCAGTGTCGCTGCTGGACTGAGAATAGTCCACCAACCAAAAATATCCAGCCAACAGCGTCCTGTGACCACTGATGAAGGACTAGAGGATGACCAACACAAACTGTGCAGCAGCAGATGAGCTATCGTCTCTGACTTTACATCTACAAGGTGGACTGACAAGGTAGGAGTGTCTAATAGAGTGGACAGTGAGTGGACACAGTGTTTAAAAACTCCAGCAGCACTGCTGTATCTGATCCACTCGTACCAGCACAACACACAATAACACACCACCACCACATCAGTTTTACTTCAGTGCTGACAATGATCCACCACCCAAATTTATTATTTTTATTTGCCAGTTAGTTAGCTATTAAATACTCTGTACATTATTGAACTTTCATAAACTTTCGTTCCCTAGAAGGTAATTCAGATCTGATCACTTAGTGGTTAGCCGGAACGTTTAGCTATTCAGCTAGCGGCTGACTAACAGGCAGAGACTTACGATTCAGAAACACAAATGCATCAGTGCACCCATTCGGCCATGAAAACTCAATCTGAACACTGCACGTCCCGGAAAGCAGAAGAAAAGCTCTGACAGTGCAAAAGAGAGAGTGGGAGAGAATCAGAGAAGTGCACGCTAATGAAGTTGGCTGTCCAGCCGGTGCGTCTCCAGTGGCTAGTGTGGTCACTGATTGCATACAGACCGATCTCACTGGTCCAAAATGAACCTCAATCGAGATAAAAGCCTTGCCGGTATGGGCTTGAGGTTTTTGTGCCATGCCAATGCACCTCATTAGCAACCCTGTTGTTGGGGCTCTACCACTCTATAGAGTTCACTCTCCTCAGAGTGACAAGCGATATAGCATCTTGTCCTGTTGGAATACACAGTCATTCTTTATGGTTTTCCTCTTTTAAGTGAACAGAAGATGCGTATGAAGAGAGGCCATTTAACCAGAAAGAATTACAACTACTCTCTTTGCAGTAAGCCTACTTGAGATTATCTACACTTGTTTTATCAGAGCACCAGTTAGTCAGAATTACACCCTGCGCTGTGGCGTGTGGCACAGTTGGGTTAGCTTAGCGAGCGGGCTACAGATCTAAACACTGTAGAACAGGTTTCATTTTGCTTTACTGTCCTTTCGATGGCATGTAACACTGTGTACTACAGTAAAATTTGGGGATTGTTTAATGGTTTTGAGGAGCCCTAATGATATCTTTTCTTTAAAAACTCCTTTTAGCTTTAAAATGAGCTATTTTTAACTGAAGCACTCAACTTAAGATGAGCATAAGAAATACTTAGCTAACAACATGATGTGACACAGTGTGAGCGAGTGCTATTTCAGGCTAGGTTTGTTACCGGTCTGAGTTCAATTCTTTTCCCCCTGAAAAATCCAAGCCAGCATTTTCTGCTAATATTGACCTGATAGCAATACATATTTTTAGTAACTTTTACAGATTAAAAAATACTTTTCACAACTTCCAAACTGAGGAAGAAGTCAGCTAGGTGGCTAACTTAGCTAAATAGCTAATATGTTCTTTTACTATTTTTAAGTTTGTTGTTTTTGTGAGTGCTTGCTAGCTAGCTACTTCAGCTTCTGTATTGTTCAAGGTAACGTGTTAGCTTAGGTAGGCTAAAATCTAGTAAAACCATGAGCATTGGACCTTCTTTCTGTCAGGCCAGTAATAATTTTTTGTAACACACAGCAAGTGCTCAAGTAGTTTCTCAGGTCAAGACCTTATTTACTCCTACTTGAGTGATTTTCTTCGTGGGTCGCCAGACTTCATTCTTTTATTTGTATTCAAGTGAATTATCAGTACAGTAGCAGCACTATTACTTACCTTCTCCACTCAGCTGATCTCTTTAGAAGGTTTTGGTCAGTTAGGACAGGTTGAGGTTGAAGGTGAACTCAAATAAATCAATAAATTCATCAACAATTCTCTCCTCAAACCACTCCCTCACTTCACTTCACAACATAGCATCTTGTTTTGGTGGAATATCCAATCTTTTCATTCAGAAGGAAGCAATTTCCAACTATTTTAATTCCTGTGTTCATTTACTATTTCTTTTGTCACTATAGCTAATTAGCCAATGTAAGCTAGCAAACCAGGAAAGCTAATGTGTTAGCTCAAATTAGCAAAAGCCGGCGGGCTGTTTTGACATGTTTTGGTTTCTTTATGTTCAATAGCTGGTGAATACAAAAGGGAGGCAAATGGTGACTGTTACTGCTAGGAAGTCGAATATCGTATTAAAGCTACTTAACTATTATAACTGTCTTCAAATCATCATTACAATGAAGTAAATGGACTACTCAAATGACAGAGATGGCTTGTCAGATGAGGACGAGTTAAATGCTAAAGTTAGTGCAGTAGCTACCTGATTATCTAGATACTGTACCTCAGGTTGGCTTCTTTTTTTCTTGCTAAAAGGGTAAAAAACGTGTCTATGGCATCCATTTTTGCGCTAAATAAAGGTAAATTGCTGTTTCTTTTTGATTTTGTTCAACAACTGAAGTAAGACTTAGCTAGCTTCACTGAATTTTATTAGCCTATAGCTTAGCAGCCTGGCTAGCAATCAGGATTGGTTGACACCACAGGGATTCCCAATGGTTGTATGATGTATTTGCACAATGAATACTGGGTCTTATGGTGAGAGAACGTTGACAAATAAAAAACATGAAAATGATAGAAATTTGTGAATCTTGTCAAAGTGATAAGGCTGGATACAATGCTATGCTAATTAAAACGAAAAATAACGTAATTAAGCTGAGCTGGAATGCTCTTTTAAAGTAACTTAGCATAATTGTTCAGTCAGTTTCTTGGTAAAGAATGTTTTTACTCTTACTTGATTTATTTATTTATTTATTAATAGCGTTACTTGTATTCACTACACTACACTAAGTAGCAGTAGCAGTACTCTTACTGTCTCCAGCCGGTCAGTCTGTTTAGATGGCCTTGATCAGCTGGAGCAGGTGTATTAGATGGGTGGGTTTGACCTGAACTCTGCAGGAAGTCAGCTCTCCAGGGGTGAACAGCTGCTGGCTCTCAGGCAAAACTAAAAGGAATAACTGATATAATTACTCCACTATTGGTTGTAGGTAGTTATAGAGGTTACAGAGGATCCCCCGTGCCTCATGGTGGGAGATTATGTTATTGGGCAGGCATGAGGGGGAAAAAAATGAAATCATCATGTCGTCTGGAGATGATTTTCTGGGATTTAAGGGCTATTACTGCACCTGCCATATGTCACCCAAGTGACGTCGCCAGCACCCATGGTCCAGCATCGTAGTCATGGTGATAGTGCTGGTGATGATGATGATGATGGGTCATGTTTCCAGGGGGTGAGTCCAGATACACTGGCAGACGCACAGGGGGGAGGTTATTAAAGCTATAAGAGACAGGACCCAGGGCATAAAGAACAAAGCTATGAAAAAGGGATGGGAGGGGGAGAGAGAGCTAGATAGACAGAAAGAGAGAGAGAGAGAGAGAGAGAGAGAATATTAAAGCTCAGAGCCACAGCCGGCCAGCAGTGGCTGAACAAGAAAGTCGAAGGCCCTCGGTCTGGTCAAAGGTTAGATGACAGTGACATAATCAGACGCAGCTGTTCGGACAAAGCTGGAGGACTTAAAGTGATAGTTTGACCAAAATAAACTTTACCCAGTTTCCTCTTTACCCCAAATGCAATCAATCAGCCATTTGCTCCTTTAGTTTATAAATATGGGGTCAGTATACAGAATAACTGGGGTGGGGGGTGGTCATGGTATGTCTTATTACTGTTATACCACTTAATATAAAAAATATTTTCAGTTAATATAAAAGACAGTGTAATTTGTTTAATTGCTAATGCCACTTCACCCACTAGCGTCTAACACTAATTAAATTGTTCATATTAGACTACCTATTGGCATTGTGATAATTATATGTTATCATATTTAGCTGTCTGATACACCATTGGCCAAATAAATAGGTTACATGATTCCTGAGAACTTTGATGTTATGTAAATGAAATAATTGTGATACTTTAAGATTTTATAATTATAAATAATGAATACATTATGTACCAGGTTGTAGCATATGTTGCTCATTATTACCGTCAGTCTATCTGAGATTACTCAACAACTCAACACTGTTTGGGGCAAATGCATGATGGTTTATACAGGCAGTTAGCGTCATGCTAACAGAGACAGACATTATTAGACATAAAGGGAAAAAGGCACTTGGGAAAAAATAGCCCAGGTGAGAATAATGAAAAGAGTAAACAGAAGGGAGACATGTCACGCTATCTCTCTCAGGATGTCAAGAAAGCTTGAAGAGAATGGAGGGATAGAGCACGAACGAGTGCTTTTGTTCCTTTTGTGAAGGGAAAAGGTTAGAAACGTCCCTAAAGGACAAGTTTGCATCTGGGCATCATGAGAGAGAGAGAGACAGAGAGAGAGAGAGATAATAAGGAGAAAAGGAGAAAGGCATAAACAGAGCGTGAAAGAGAAAAAGAAAGTGAGAGAGAAAGAGAGAGGAGACAGATAAAGAGAGACAAACGGAGAAAAGGCAAAGGGGGAGAGAGAGGAATAGACGGGGGAAAAAAGAGGAGAGAGAGAGATAAGAGAGAAAGCGAGAGAGGAAAAGAAAAAAGAGTAAGAGAAAAGGAGGAGAGATGGAGAGCAAAAGAAAGAGAAGAAGGGAGAAAGACTGAGAAACAGCAGAGAGAAAGGGAGGAGAAAGGACAAAAGGAAGGGAGAAAGAAACAGAATAAATAAATAGAGAAGAAGAGAGAAAGAGAGAGGAGAGAGGGACAAATAGGAAGACAAAAAGAGGGAAAGGGTGGAGAGAAGAAGAGAGTAAGGAAGCGAGGGGAAGAGATAAAGAGAGGAGAGATAAGAGGGAGAAGGGAAGAGAGAGAGGAGGAGGGAAAGAGATAAGAGAGGGAGAAAGAAAGACAGGAGGGAAAGGGAGATGGAGGAAGAGAGACAGGAAAAGATAAAAAGGAGAGAGATAAGAGAGAAAGGGTACAGAGAGAAGATGAGAGAGGGGAGGGAAAAGGGGAGAGAGAAAGAAAGAGAGAGGAGAGGATGGGGACAGAGGAAGAGAGAGAGGGAAGAGATAAAGAGAGAAATTGGGATAAGACAGAAAAGGAGAGAGGCAGAGAGAGAGAAGGCAAAGGGGGAGAGAGGAGAGAAAGAGATAGAAAGGGAACAGAGAGAGGAAAAGAGATGGAGGAAGGAAAGAGAGGATGCAATGGGGAGAGTGAAAGAGAGAAAGGAGAGAAAAAGAAAGGGAGAGAGGAAGAGAGAAAGGAGAGAAAAACAGAAAGGGAGAGGGGAAGAGAGCAAAAGAAAGAGAGGAGGGGATGGGGAGAGAGGAAGAGAGAGAGGGGAAGAGAAAGAGAGAAATCGGGATAAGACAGAAAAGGAGAGAGACAGATAGAGAAGGGAAAGAGCGCAAGAGAGAGAGAGGAGAGAAAGAGATAAAAGAGAAAGCGAACAGAGGAAAAGAGAGAGGAAAGAAAGGGGGAGAAGAAAAAGAAAGAGAGAGGAGGCAGTAGGGGAGAGAGGAAGAGAGAAAGGAGAGTAAGAGAAAGGAAGAAAGGGAGGAGAGATAAGAGAAAGGGGGAGAGAACGAGAGAGGAGGGAAAGGGGGAGAGAGGAAGAGAGGAGAGAAAGAGATAAAAGAGAAAGGGAACAGAGAGGAAAAGAGAGAGGAAGGAAGGGAGAGAGAGAATGAAAGAGAGGAGGGAATGGGGCGAGAGAAAGAGAGAAAGGGAGGAGAGAGAGATAAGAGAGAAATGGAGAAAAAAGAAAGAAAGAGTGAGAGGTACAGAGAAAGAGAGGAGAGAGAAAGAGGGACACAACAAGAGACAGAGAGAGAGAGAGAGACAGAGAGAGAGAGAGAGATACTGGAATAACAGTGAATTTATATATATTTACAGACGTATGACAGAGGAAGCAGAGACACAGCAGTTACCATGACAACCGCAGAGTATACAGACAGTTTTTCTCCTCTGGATGGAACCATTTTCTGTGAGTGGCACACACAGCGCATGTCCAGCACTCTGAGTGGGAGAGAGGTGTAAAAGACATCCATCAAACCCTCTGTACTTACTGCTCTCTCTCTCTCTCTCTCTCTCTCTCCACTCTCTCCCTCTCTCCACTCTCTCTCCACTCTTCCGCCTTCTCTCTCTCTCTCTCCCTCTCATTTCCTTTCTACCTTATTCTCTCCCTCTCTTTCTCTCTCTCTCCCTCTCTCTCTCTCTCTCCCTCTCATTTCCTTTCTAGCTTATTCGCTCCCTCTCTTTCTCTCCCTCTCCTTCTCTCTCTCTCTCTCCCTCTCCTTCTCTCTCTCACTCTCTAGTTCTCAGGCAGCAGGCCCAGAACTTTTGATTCATGGCTCTGTGAGACGGATGCTCCACAGCCGCACATCCAGTAGCTCGTAAAGCACGTTCTCCTACACACTCACTCACTCACGCTCACACACACACACACACACACACACACACACACACACACACACACACGCGCGCATACACACACACACACACACACACACACACACACACTAGTGCTGATCAATAGTGGTCTGACATCACTCAGTGGGCAGAAATGAGAAAACAAACCCACTGTATTTACCACGAATGTGAGCTCAGCAATACTAATGCAGCTCTACTCACCATTCATTCATCTGTTCATCTGTTCATGATGCTCCCAAACACACAGACACACACACACACACAGACTCTTAAAGCAGTCCAGTCACAAATCTAATTTACCCACTTTCTCCCTCTTCCTTGAAGTGTAGCCGATCAGCCATGCCATGTTGGGTGTCTTAAGTTCTCTACTTCAGCACTGGAGCTACGAGGCTAATGTAGCCAGAGAAAGTAACAAATTATTACATTACATTTTCTCCCATTACTGTAACTTGCGTACATTTTTCCTTGGTGTAAAACACGCCGTCACTGGACTCTGAAGCAGTGGAATCATATTCTGTGGAGTGACAAATCACGCTTCTCTGTCTGGCAGTGTGATGGACGGGTCTGGGTTTGGCGAATGCCAGGAGAACGTTACCCGCCTGACTGCATTGCGCCAACTGTAAAGTTTGGTGGAGGAGGGATAATGCTATGGGGTTGTTTTTCAGGGGTTGGTCTAGACCCCTTAGTTTCAGTGAAGGGAAATCTTAATGTTTCAGCAGACCAAGACATTTTGTTTGCTTCCAACTTTGCGGGAACAGTTTGGGGAAGGCACTTTTCTGTTCCAGCATGACTGAGCCCCAGCGCATAAAGTAAGGTCCATAAAGACATGGCTGGTTGAGTTTGGTGTGGAAGAACTTGACTGGCCCTCACAGAACCCTGACCTCAACCCCATCAAACACCTTTGGGATGAACTAGAACGGAGATTGTGAGCCAGGCCCACTCGTCCAACATCAGTGTCTGACCTCACAAATGCTCTTCTGGATGAATCGGCGAAAATTCCCACAGACACTCTCCAAAATCTTGTAGGAGGCTTCCCAGAAGAGTGGAAGCTGTTATAGCTGCAAAGGGGACCAACCCCATATTAATGCCTATGGATTTAGAATAGGATGTCATGAAGGCTCTTGTAGGTGTAATGTGTAGGTGTCCCAATACTTTTGTCCATATAGGGTATATTCCTTCAAAGCTTCAAGTGACACCATAATTGCAATGTTATTGGGTTCATTTCCAAGCAACTGAATTGAACAAAACCAGTCATTTTCCCCAAATCTGTTAAACCTGAAAAAAAAATGGAACATTCCGTTTATTATTATGTTTGCAAGAAGTTGTTGTTTTCTGCAGAAAGACCCTGAGGTGATTAGATTTACACACAAAAAACTGATTTGGCTGCATGGGTGAAACTTGACCATTCAACACTGTTATGTTATTATTGGAAAACAGAATATTTACATTTTTTAAATGTATGTAAACTATATGGTTATTAGCAGTGAGCATTCAACATGGGCACCCTCTCAAACTGACCACTGCTGAATGCTTATTATAGGCTAAATTCGCAAACTTGTTACTCGCAACCATATTACCAAATTTTTTTTACCTTAATTATTCTCGATGAAAATGAAATGAAAATGGCTTGAAACAAAGATTTTAATGAAAACATGTTGATTAAAACACTTTTTCAACTTTCCCTTCTGCTCTGTACACTTTGTGTCTTTATGTGTGTTTTTAATGCATTAATATCAGTTTAATGGGGAATATGATCTCTGTGTTCAACACTGTTACTCATTTCAACCCTGCTATTTAATCATTTGTGGTCTTAAAACTTTTAATTTTGTAGGTTGTTTACCACACATGTCAGTTTGGTAATGAGAGTCATAAGTTAAAATAAATAATACAAGAACATTTACACTATTTTTGATCAGGGAGAAAGAAAACTCTAAAAGATTTGAAGTAATATGTATAAGAAATGTCTAAAACACTAGAAAACTTTTGATTTCATAAACATATATGTGTGTATATATATATATATATATATATATATATCGCTAGAAAATGCTGAATTATATTAACACAGACATTTAAATGGCATTTATACCTTTATATCCTTCTAAAAATGGTAACAAAGTTGCTCAAATGCTGTACATTTCAGGAAAACAGCTCATTTAGTATCTTATTTGACAGCCTGAATTGGAAAAGTAAGTTTTTCCAAAGGTTAAGCTGCATATCCAAATCATCACATTCTTGCCTCAAACCGCATTGAGTTGTTAAGTAACCTCTCATAGACTTGTTTATGTGGTCTCTGTCACCATATGACATACCGTCATCTATAAAAACAGACAAAATATGCTATATAGCTAAAAACAGTATTTTTCCGTTTTTTATAGACGTAGGTATGTCATACATTGTCAGAAACTACCAAGTAGTCTATTGTCTATTGAGATTACTTAAAGGGTAATTACACTGATTGTTCTAATTTTCTGCATAATTTAGTGGTTGAGATGTAAACAGTGTCATTCAGAGTTTGGTGTGAAATGGTTCATTGTAGAGAAACTTACAGACTCTGATTTCTTTACAGTGGTGGTGAATGGAACCAGGGGTCATAATGTCTTCAACACAAATATAGTCATTTAATTTATTATCCAAAACCACAAGGGAACCTATCTGTCTTCTGAGTTTTTATATTTAATGTTCAATCACTCACTCATCACTCATGGGGGTGCCGGAGCCTATCCCAGCGCTTATTGGGCAGAAGGCAGGAAACACCCTGGACAGGCTGCCAGTCCGTCACAGGACTATATTGTCGCTGTCCAAAGAAAACCATGTATCTCTATTTTTGTCAATTGTTATTTTTTTTTACATGATTTCAACACCAGCAGTCCTTTACGTTGTGTGACAATTTCATGAGGAATGGGCCAATAGAAATGCTCTAAGGTCACCTGGAATAAAATCTCTATGCATTGACTTACATTGAAAGGTAAGAATGTTTTTGCCTGTAAAGTTACACTTTTGGAGATACTTTTTTTTCTTTGGACAGCAACGAAATGTAGTGTTGATAATGGTAAAATGGTGGTAAATATCCAGGTGCTATTTTGCCTTATGATGCCCTGCATGAACCTCTTCTTACATCTTAACCATTTAATTACACACAAATTGTGGCCAAATTCTACTTAAATGCAGTTGGGCATTGGCAATAAGCTTACTTACTGCTGTCATATGCAAAAGTTTGGATGCCCCTGATAAAAAAAAGGCATCTTTTGTTTTTGCACTTATACAGTTTATTTGCTGAGTTTGACACACAGGCCATATTTTTTGTTCATATTTGTTTCCAATATGTCAAATTTGGCAAATAAACAGTAATTGTGCCTTAAAATATGCAGCAGTGTGTTCCCTCAAATGTTGTTTGACCGGGGTGCTAAAACTTTTGCATATGACTCTACTTGCATTAGCTCTGTAACTCCAGTGCAAAACTAAATGAACAAACTTGTCGTGTCTCGACTACATTTGGGGAAAACTGTGTAAATTTGCTTTTCGGCCGCATCGTGCCTTCAAGCTGTAAATCAGTAGGAGAGTGTGGTCAAACTCAGTGACCTGTGTGATTCAGTGGGGGTGCCAGACTGGTTCACTGTGAGCTGTGAACTGCTGAACGCTCAGTGACGTGGGCTGAAATCTCCTGTTCGCTGCCGCCGGTCCATTATGCTCCATTAAAGGGCTGGAATAAGCACCTCGACGGCTGCTGGACACTCATGCTGTAATTTCAGCCTCCTTTCAATCATTTACAAACTCTCTTCCCCACTCCCTCACTCTCTAACTCACTCTTTAACTCACTGTACAGCTCTCTCTAACTCACTCTTTAACTCACTGTACAGCTCTCTCTAACTCACTCTTTAACTCTCTGTACAGCTCTCTCTAACTCACTCTTTAACTCACTGTACATCTCACTCTAACTCATTCTTTAACTCACTGTACAGCTCTCTCTAACTCGCTCTTTAACTCTGTACAGCTCACTCTTTAACTCACTCTTTAACTCACTGTACAGCTCTCTCTAACTCGCTCTTTAACTCTGTACAGCTCACTCTTTAACTCACTCTTTAACTCACTGTACAGCTCACTCTAACTCACTCTTTAACTCACTGTACAGCTCTCTTTAACTCACTCTTTAACTCACTGCACAGCTCACTCTCTAACTCACTCTTTAACTCACTGTACAGCTCTCTCTAACTCACTCTTTAACACACTGTACAGCTCTCTCTAACTCACTCTTTAACTCACTGTACAGCTCACTCTCTAACTCACTCTTTAACTCACTGTACAGCTCTCACTAACTCACTCTTTAACTCACTGTACAGCTCTCACTAACTCACTATTTAACTCACTGTACAGCTCACTCTTTAACTCACTCTAACTCACTGTACAGCTCTCTTTAACTCACTATTTAACTCACTGTACAGCTCTCTCTAACTCACTCTTTAACTCACTGTACAGCTCACTCTCTAACTCACTCTTTAACTCACTGTACAGCTCTCTCTAACTCACT